AAAGAACACCAGATTAATTATTTGCATTCATAAAACCAGAATAAGCCCACTTGCTTAAAGTAGAATAAACACTGAGGACTCTCACTTGGGTTTTCAGTGGCTTTGGATTTGAGTGTGCTTTTTACAGCAACACCAGCAGTGTTTTTCCAGCTTGCTAACCAAAGCTTCTACTACATTTTTTTTATCACCCACTCTCTCTGCCATGTAAAGGAGATGAGGGCCATGTTCCCATATCGGCAGTAAACCTTTCTTAGAACTCTAGAAAGCATGACCTGAACTTCTTTGGTCCTTCAGCAAGCATGGCTGGCAGGCAACCTGCTGGAAGCTTTGCTTAAGTGGAAAAGAGTTTTTACACCATTTGGTATGACAGTGGATGATACCATCTTGCTATCAGCACCTGCTCTAGCCCAACAGCAAAATAACATTATTCTAGACTGGTCCCACAATTTCAGCTTCCAATATAACTGCCTAATTATACTGCATGGGTTATCAGCAGCAGAGCTGGAGCTTGGTAGTTGAGTTTGGGATAAATGGAGATTGAGGTTTCTGGGAAGATGTGGCAGAAGGTTGGCAGTAGAAGGACAGCTACTTGCTGCAAGTACACAGGTTTATCTACCTGAAGGTTTAGCTAGATGACTGAAAGAGATGTTCAGTGGTTCAGCTGCCACACCAAGGTGCATAGGGTGGCTTTTTCCTCTTAGAGCTGTAAGTTTCTTTCAAAGGTGTGTGTGGACTGAGGGGGTTATTGCCTCATTTTACATTCCCGTTCATATTTTGGCATTTTCTCCATTCTCTTTCTCCCAGGGAGGCTGAGACACACATAACCTGGCCTATAATGAGGAATGGAGGCATGAAGCCAGAAATCTTATATTACAGCTTTCTAAATGCAGACCATGTTTTCTTACATTTGTGTGGAAGATAGATGAGGTCCATATCATATATGTGGTCCATCAAAGTGGAGTATCCCTAGATTGGGGTAAATTCATCCTGTTCCTAACATGACAAGATGACTTCTGATAGGGGAAAATGACTGCAAGTTGCATCCATCTGGGCTGGTCTCTGCAGGGACACATCTGTTACCCTCCTTTGTCTTAAAGCCCAGGCTGTAACCATCCTGCTCCTGCACAAGAACCTCTTCTAGCTGGGTTATTCACCCTTCTGTAGGTACTCTGCTTCTGGCCAAGCAGTGGCACAGCTCTCTGCCTGGTAGCCTCAGAATAGATATTTTCCTGTGAGCAACAGCCTGCAGGTTGGAGTCCTCCTCCCAGGCAGGGACTGGCCTCAAGCTGTGCTCTTGCCTGTCTGAGTGCTCTCTCTTCTCACCAGGTGGCTTGGGACAGGCAGCCTCCCTTCCCTGCCATGGTTTTGAAAGAAAACAGCCTTATGAAGTGTGGCAATGAAATACTGGGGTTTGAGCCCTGAATTAAGGTTGACATATGGGTGATTCCCACAGCCCTTCATACAGAGGTGGTGAGTTTGCCTTAGAGCTTCCCCCCAGGGTGCGGCCGGCCCTGCAGGGAGAGCCACAAGGGAAATGAGCCCCAGGGGTCCCACATTGAGTTGACAAAGGTCAGGGGTCTGCTTGGGGATAAAAGCTGGGACCACTGGCAGGGAGTCAGGAGTGTCTGTCTGTGGAGTGCACTCCACAGAGCTTCCTGGTTCAGGGCAGACCTCCTGACTCTCCCTGGAGCTGGGCCTTGGTTAGGTTAGACCTTTGTGAACGTGGGCTAAATGGGTGAGAGTTGCCATGTGGGCACCTTTATCCTGTTTGTTTAACCTTGTGATCGGGCTGTTTCCCTTGCCAACTATGGGAAGCCTTGGCTCTTTGTTTATACTGCCTGTTGTGGGTCGAATCATGTCTTTTCTGGGATTGTTGGGGGTGGTGTTGATTGTATGTGAACTGGTTGACTTGTTTGTACCCCTGGCGGTCATTCATGCCATAACTTTCTTGTTGTCAATACATTCTACTTATTGGTTTGCCTTTCTGCTGGTTGTATCATTCTTGTTGGGCCTCATCACTGGCAGAACAGGCGTGAGCATACCTATGAGGTCCGGGTGGAGTTTTAGCACCTTCTAGCTTCTGTCTGAATTACAGAGATGTTTTTATAGGAGGAGGTTTTCCAGAGTAGGGGCCATTGACACTGTACCAGTGCATGTGCTTAAGTGCCCAGTAAAGGCTGCAATTCAAAGCAGAGATGCTGATTTATTTTAGGACCCTAAGGCTAGGCATAGCGGAGGACTAAAGCATCTGAACACTTGTTAAGCCTTACAGGCCTGTGTTCCTGTGCGGTTGCTGTTTCAGTGGAATTTAGTTACAGTGCTCTCACTGGGAGGTGTCTAGTCAGGCTGAAATGTTGTGTGTCACTGGCAGAAAGCAGGACAAACCCAGTTATCCCAGTGCTTGGGATCCTCGCAGTAACACAGAGCTGCTGAGGTGGGATACATCTGGATCAGCCCAGTAAGAGGTCCAATGCTTGCTTTTTTTTTTCCCCCATAATAAATAAAATAGGTAAAAACCAAATTCTCTGATAATTGCAAATCTGCCTACACAAAACCAACATTCACTGGGAACATCAGCACATGAACAACATAGCAGATGAACATTTAAAAAGGAGGGCTTTCTGCAGCAAAATGGGCCCATGTCCTACTACTTGCTTCAGAATTATTTACATTGTGAACTTGTAATCATCTCTGAGATGAGAAAGCATCTCAGCTCTATAGGGAAGGTGAAATTCCATCACTTTTTGTGATGCAAATATTTTGAAATAGGGAAGACATTCCTTCTTAGCCTTTCAAAGTGGATCATGACATGTAATTACAGTAATTTTACTGCCCAGATACAAATACAAGCACATGGAAGGTGTGTGGGCAGTCCTGCATGACTGCCTGGCTAACAAGGGACGAAGGACTTGTGGATCCTCAACTTCTAATGCCTGGATCAGCTGCAGCCCTAAAAACAGCAGCAACAGCTGTCAGATACATGACAAAAAAAAGCTCTCATCCTGACATCATTATCTTTCTAGTGAGAGCAGTCCATATTTTTTTTCTCAGAAGGTTACCCACCATTTAATTACCACCACCACCTCTAGTTAGAAAACTGTGTCCTGTTTTTAGTCTGAATCTGCCTGAAACCATCTTTCAGGCACTGAATTTTTCTTTTCTTTTGTTAGTAGAACGAGAAATCCACCCTGGTTTTAGTTTTCTGTATGCAAGTATCTGTAGTCAGTGCTTGAGTCACTTCTCAGCTTCTTGTCAGTGAAGCTAAGCTGAGCTCCTTAATCTTCAAATCATGACTTCTTTTCCAGTCCTTGGGGATACCTGTGACCCTCTTTTGAACTGTCTCCCCTTCTCTCTGTCCTCATTGTTTCCCTGTCTTTTCTGAGGTGTGGACAACAATGTAGGAATAGCCATAAATGGTCATACCAAAGGTGTATCTAGCCTCGTGTCCCCTCTCTGGCGGCGCTTCCCACAGGTGCCACAGGAAGAATAACAACAGTGGAGACAAGATGCTGCTTTCCTCCCTGCTTCCTACTGCAGCATCCAAGTGATCTACAGCTCATTGTGGTATACACGCATACTCTTAACCTGAGCTGGGATCACTTCTCATTTTCTGCTTCACGTTTTGGCTGGATCCAAGGACTGCCTTAGTGTATGTTTTCACCATTGCAGTGCCTCCGAAGCTCACATTGATGTGCTGTCTGTGAAATTTAAGTCTTCTGTGGAGCTGCAGCATTCCAAGGCAGCTCACTAGCTCTAGCAAACAAAACTTGCAGTCTGGTGGAACTAGTATACACAATCCTTCAAGCTCACCTCTTGCCCTTGCCTCTCAAGTCCTTATCTGGAAAGACACCTTGTGTTGCCTCCTGCAGATTGCATGCTACTAAGATGTGAGTTTTTCCAGAAGGAAACATTCTGCACCCCCAACTTACAAGTTACAGTGTGCCTCCATCTTACAGTAACACGCCTGCAGTAATGCTGTGTGAAAGCTTTCAATGATTGAGGTGTTCTAAAAAGTGTGAAAGCTACTTAAATTAGAGAAAATATATTTAAATGTATAGTCAGCTCCTGCATTTTTTGAGACTGTCTGCAGAGAAGGCTTAAAAATAAAACCAGCACTGACTGTCTTTCTAAAAGAAAACTGAGATTCCCTCATAACAGCATAATTACTCCAGGTGTTAGGGCATTAAAAATAACAGCAATGTTATAGAGGAAGGAACGAGTTGGCAGCACTGCCACCACCTTTGTTTCCTAGGACTTCCAAATGAATGTGAGAGAAATCACATTCTCATCTCCAGGTGTGGGGGTGTTTCCATACCACCACCCATTCACTGTGGGGCACACACCCCACATCCCACACACCCTCCCCTGCTCTCCTTCATGCAGTTTCACCCGCGAATCTTGTCTTTGCTCCACAGCATCACAGGCACGGGGAGACACATCCCAGCTTCCTTTATCTACAGACCTCGCCTGCACACAAGTCCTGCCCCCTCATCCCTATGTACATATCCCAAAGCCAGCACACACACACCAGACCCCACACTTGCACATGACATCACTCAGTATTTGATCCTTTTATCCTGGAGATAAAGACACAGAGGGTCCCTTTTGTCCAGGCACTTGAGGTGCCTGAGTCCTTTGGAGGGGGGCTTTCAGCAAAATGCTTTTTGCAGCTTTCTGGGGTTTAGGAGCTGCCAGCTAGGTGAGTATAGGTCTGAGCTGCCGTTTCCCAAATCAAGTGGTTGTGATGGATTATATTTATACCTTCACTGTTCCAGCCTTTGACAAACCATCCCACACATCTGTTATATTAGAAGGTTTCAACCTAATATTTTTTGAGCTGGGCATATGGGAACCTGATTATATCATCTTTATTTGTTTTCCTCCATTCACTCTCACTCCTCCATTCTTCCCTCTCCCCACCATTTATCATTTAAGGATCCATTAGAAGATTACACAATGTTTTGTACTCATTGCCAACTTTTTTCTCCCCTTGTTGACAGATGCTTACCCCAATTCTGAGGTGATCTATGTGTGGACTAACAGCACCACAACATCTGTGGTGGTTGCCGAAGATGGCTCACGACTTAACCAGTACCATCTGATGGGACAAACTGTAGGAACTGAAAACATTAGCACCAGTACAGGTAGGGAGAATATTTCCATCCCATGGTTGCTGACAGCTGGAGCCTGAGGGGAGATCCACAGGCTCCAGTTATTTTGCCAGGAGGCTAGGGAGGCATCTTTGGGATGTGGGGTGCAAGGCGGATCCTGTGCAGGTTCCTGGCAGCTTAGCAGAGGCATGGAAGCACTGTGAGGGTCACATGCTGGCTCTTAGGCGTGTCACAAAGCTGCTGCTGAAGATGCATCCAAGCTGCTGCTGTGTACCAGGAGCACTGGAGGAGCTGCACGCAGCTTCCTGGGGACCGCCTTTGCTGCGGCTGCCAGTGCTGCTGCTGGCATCCCTCCCTGTGGGAGGAACCACCCGGGAGGTAAACACCACCCACGCGTTTGATCCGTTTCAATCATCGCTTTAAAATGATTTGCCTGATGAACCCACGCAGCTGGAGGGAGCGGAGGGCAGCTGGGGGCTGTGGTGTGGCTCTGCAGCGTGTCCGGGGGACCACGTGGCCGCAGAGGAGGCGCAAGCCCCGAGGATTCCCGTTTCCTCCCAGGATGCAAGCGGAGGTGCCAGATGTGGCAGCATTAGAGAGGCAAAGAAGCTTTAATCCCAGGCCAGGCCCCCGCGTGAGCCACGTCCCCCTGCTTCTTCGGGCTCCCACGCAAGGGCAGCCCTGGGTGCGCATTGGCGGGGGGACTCCTGGGGGGGTCGAGGCCGGGACAGGCGTCACGTGGGCTTGGCAGGGCCGGGGCTTAACCAGGTTACACAATGCACTCGTCTGGAGAGCATTAGTGGCGTCTAGCGAGGGGCGGGAGAGGGGGACAAACTAGCCTGCCGTGGGGGGAAGGAGGATTTCCACCACCGCGGGCTGCGTGGGGCTTGGGGTGGGGAAAGGGGACAGCCTGCAGCAGCACGGCTGGGAGCAGCTCCCGCTGGCACAGCACGGGAGTCTTCTGGTGATGGGCTGTGTCTCTGGTGAAAAAAGACAGGCTCTGAGCCGAAGGCAGGGTTGTAGAGGACAAGACATGGACTGAGTTAGGAACACGTTACTGCCCGCAGCAAACAGGGGAGATGGGAAAACAGATACATGTACCCTTGCACACAAAGTTAGCAGGACCGAAACGCGAAGGCACGTAAAGCTTTCTGCTCAAACTGGCTGTACGTGGCACATAAAGGGAGGGTAGCTGAGCTTGCTGCCAACTCTCCAAGGAGGACTTAGAGTGAGGGAAGGCTTGCCTCGGGCAGCACGGGGAAGCCACTAAACACAACTGATGTCTCCATCCTATAGAGCTTCACCCCCTCCCTTGCCCATTTCAGGAGACACAAAGCTGTTGCCAAAGCAAAGATACCTGAAGTCAAGAGAAGCATATAGAGAAAGTCAGAGGAGCCACCGCTGCAGGAGAAGGACAAGTACTCTATCTCCTATTAGATAGCAAAGATGCTTTTCCTTACCAGTTTACCATCATAGCCGCGTTGTTTTCTGCAATGAATGGCAGCTCCCCTCTTGCCTTCATTGTTGCCAAGACAAAAATCCAGAGGATATACTGTGGCATCTCTTACAAGCTCGTCCGGCTCCTCAGAACAAGAAAACCATCCAGCCCAGGCAGTGAGTGCTCCAGTGTGTCAGCTCCAGGCCACTTCTAGTTTGCAGCTTTGCCTGTGAAAGCTCCTTATACTCCTCAGCCCAAGGAAACAGGGGACTCTTCAGACAAATCCCAAAGTTTCTGCCCAGTAATGACCTCCCTCCTGCATCTGAAGATTTAGGCTAATAAATGCTTGTTTTCCAACGTCAAGATTTTATATTGATGTCCTGGGTTACGTCTGGGCGGGCTGGATTCTGATTGCAGGGTGGATCACAAAGAGCAGGACACAGATTGTAACCAGGGATTAGCAAAATACAAAAATCCGATTTTGCAGAGGGAAAGCATCAGTCAGCGATGGATTTTCTGGACTTCATCAAGCTCATAGGAGGCCAGTAATCAGGGTTACTTATGAACGGCTGTCTAAGGCATGTCTTCCTTCTATTGAATTGTTGAATGTGAAAAAGAAAAACCAAATAGCTATTTGCACAAATTAAAGTTCTTGAATCTTTTGTGGGGTTTTTGACACACAAGTCAAACTACACAGCCCTTGCTGTTGTGTAGGCAAAATGTTTGTGTGTGTCATAGGCCATTTATGCTCTCCTTTCTAGCAGGCTGGGGTTTTTTTAATGGAAATGCTGGACATGCACCAATCCCTCGGGATTCTGCTGATTTTGTAGGCAAGCAGCTAAATTTGGCTGTTTTCTCAGGAAAAAAAAAAAAAAATATCCTGGCACTCCCAATTCACCAACCAGTCTTGAAATTGGAAACATTCTAGCCATGCCACAGAAAATATCTCTGACATGTGCCACTCCTGGAGGTTTTTTTTTAACATCCCCAAATGCCATTCCCCCAAAAGAGAAGATACTTGACTACTCACACTGCTTCCAACAGGCCCAACATCTGTTATGTCCTGGTGGTACAAGTGCTGAAAACAATCAGATACAGGATTTGAGTCCAAGTGGATCTTGCTGCTTCCCGCAAATGGTTGCCCAGTTCTGTTCCCTGTACCCAGTATCTCTCATTGCTAACTTAGGATCTGCAGTGCCATAAAACAAAACAAAAACCCACTCTTTTGTATTCTGCCAGCTGGAGCCTGAGCTCTGAAATATCCAAAGCTTAAATAATGAGCGAAGCATTCAACCCTTCTTTTGCACCAAATAATTCTGATTTTTCCTTGAGATTAATCTTTCCCTTGCATCACTTAAAAAAAAAAAAAAAAAAAAGAGGAACCAGGCATTTCTTGTGGGCCAAAATATTCTGGATGTCAGTGTGGCCAGGGACACAGTGTCACAGACCTAATGTCAGGATCTCACCAGAACAGCTGCTGATACACCTGAGTCCATGTATAACCAGTAAATAAACAAGCCTGGGGGTTGGTCCAGCTTCATTAAAATACTCTATTGAATCCCAGCATAATGGTAATGGAAGAATGCCTTAAAATCCTGGAAAATTTCTAAGCATGGTCTCCAGAACTCCATCATCTATATACCTAAAAAACACTGTAGCAGCTTTTAAAGGATAAAAAAACCCTTAAGACCAGCAGCAGCACAGTAGCATAGCTTTGTAAAGCAATGCAGCCATTCCCACTCTAGGGCTTCTCATTTGTGATGGATTTGTTATTAAAATTGTTTTGTGCAGTGGTGAGTGGGCCCCATCAGGAACAGGATTCTCTTTTAAGTGCTACATAAACCTATAAAAAAATTAGCTCTTGCTCAAGAAAGCTTATGGTCTAAGGATAAATAGCGGCCTTTATAGAAGTAAAAGGGAGCTTTACCACTCCAACAGAGCCAGGATTTTGTTCTATATAAACAAAAGGCCAACTCAGGCAGCTTTTGGCTTTGCTTTAAGCAGCGGGCTCAGTGCATTAAAAACCAAGCTGTGAAGTTTTCTTAAACCGTAAGTCTGCTGAAGGAATCATTCCTAGCCTAGGCATTTTTGGAAGGGACAGCATGGGAAATTGGAGAAGGTAAAGAAATTGGAAGGTAAGGAAATTGAAGAAGGAAATTGGTGGGAAGAAGAGCAAGTGCAAAATCAAGGCTGTTATTTTAGTGGAGACAAGAACTTTGATAGGTTAAAGAAAATGATAAAGGAAAAATAGCTGCGGAAGGCCATCAAAATGTAGGCATTAATATTCTGCATTTTAGATAGGAGAAAAAAAAAATGGGTCCTGTTGCTGTGCTGAAGCTCTGTAACTTTTTTTTATTGCAGCTCCGAAAGCACGCTGTCAAAACCAATAATGCAGATCATCACTCCTTAGCGAGCAGGGAAACTGTGACTCAAGCACATCCCAGTGCAGCAGCCACTCAGATTACAGGCACAGAGACCCTGCTGCTCCTGGCATATTTTATGGATAATCCAGAAACTAAATGCTCCTAAATAGAGAGCAAGTGGGGTTCCTCCTGAGACCACAGCATGCTCAGCATCCCTGGTTCAAAATTACAACAAATTGAAGGAAATTAGACATAGCATCACAGGGATTTTCTCCCCAGTTTCACTGCATCCCCCGTTTATCTCCACATCCCTCTTCAGGGAACCTTTCACCAGAAAATCAGACTCCAGAAGAAAGTCATAAAGATTGAGGCAGGCTGTCAGGTAAGGTATTTCTGAGCTATTCCAGTCTTTTCTGTATAAAATCCTCAGCACAAACAAGGTTTGTAAAATTTATCCAGAATAACAGAGCTCCTCTAGCATAACATATCAGGGCAGCTATACCTGCAAAATCCCTTTCACTACAGACCTGTTCTCTGCTAATTAGCCATATTGTCACTTAGAAATAATCTGCCAAATCTAACTGCTTAGAAATGCTGGCTGCAACTCAACTCAGGCTATTCACTCAAGGCTGAATCAGTCTGTTACATATTTTCCTTTTGTGGCTGCTCTACAGGGACGAACAGTCAAGACTTGCCACTGAGATTATAGCTGTATTTGGTTTGTTCTTGGAGGACAATATATCTATTTCAGAATAGGCATTACTCTGATTCAGCAGTACCCAGCTGAATGAGGCATGCTTTGAAATTAATTTGATATCAATGTGAATGCAGGTCTGTTAGGGCTTGAAGAAGCTGGCTGTTTTTTATTCTTACATTTTGTTTTTACTCTTATTTTGCCTAGGCAAATGGTAGCCTGTTTTTAGTTAGCAAGATTTTGGCCTTAGGGAGCAGTTGACATCAATGAATAGCCTTCAGTAACAACTAGATGGTTTTCCAGGAACAGTCTAAAGGAAGCAGTTAAGTTTTGATTTTTTTCTGAAACAAGAAGGAAGGTGACAGCTGGTCTGTCGATTTTGAAGTGCATTTTTTTTTTCAGGCTTTTATTGGAATTCAGAGGACCTGACAAAAGAGAGATTAAGGCAATGCTGTGTATTTGGCATATTAAAAAGACATGGAATTTAGCATTGCTGTGGCAGCTTTTCAGTGAATTATCCGTGCAGGCGGTGCAATAGTCATTGCACGAGTGAGTAAGACTTGTCTACCCAGAAGCAGTTTATCTTTCCAAGGGCTGAGGTGTACCAAATTCTAGGAAAACTGTGTGCACTAGAGGGACTTTTTTTTTTTTCTGGAGGAGCAATCTGATGGCTTTGGGTACTTGGATCTGTAAGACATCCCAGGATCCTTGTGCAAAGTTGCAATTTTTTCAGCACAAAATGGGGGACGGGCAATCCCTAAATTTCAGTGCAGGAGTGTCTGGGCCTGTTTTCATTCTTGAAAACTGACGCTTGGCAGTAACACTTACCCTAATGAGGTTAAGTCTTGCTGCTAAATCAGGTTTCGAAGAGTAGATGGACTTAATTGAACTCTGGGAAGGCAGTTTGTAGGACCAAATCAAAACCAGGCAGGTCTGTGGCAGTGCCATCAACCCAAATTTTTTAAGCCTCTGAACATCAAGACATTCCAGGTGTGTAAAATGACTGCAGCTTTCCAGTGCAGTAACAGTAGTCAGTAATTGTCTTCTGGTTTTGGGGACTGAACGTGAAGACTGGCAGGATCTGGCAGCATCTCTGTCTCAAGTCCTGATTTTCCACAGCACAGAAATCCAGACCTTTTTCATGCCATTTAGAATGGCTAAATGGTGTCCTCAAATGGGAGGGGTGGAGCTTGCCTGCTTAAGGCTCTAAATCATTAGGCCTTGCTTAGTTTACCCATATGCATATTTTTCTCCTTCTAGGCGAATATACTATTATGACAGCCCATTTTCATCTGAAAAGGAAAATTGGTTATTTTGTTATTCAGACGTACCTGCCTTGTATTATGACTGTGATCTTATCACAAGTGTCATTCTGGCTAAACAGAGAATCTGTCCCTGCTAGGACTGTCTTTGGTGAGTATCCCACTTTATTCCAGCATGCAGAAAGGATTGGTCTGGCTTGTGGAAGTGATTTGCTGTAATAAAACCACAGTGCACTAATGCTTATTTCTGCTTGAGATGTTCTAGACATTACCTTGTTCCCATACAGTTTAAACTCAAAATTCATTTAAAAACATTGTCTGGGCGTTGGTTTTTTTTTTTTTAAAGTTATGACAGAAATTGCTCAAGCATCAATTATACAAAGGTTAAGGATAGAAGAATCAGATTGGTGTGATTCGTGTTGTTTTTTTTTTTCCTCTTGGGTAAAATACTGGATGATGAGGAGAAAAAAGTATACATATTATCATATTTAGTGTCTACTCTAGCTAAGCATTTGAAACATTTCACTTCAAGACATTTTGTTTATTTTAAGATGTTTGTCTGGGAAAACCATGTAGAGGTTAATTAGTGACAATTATCTCTATTACCATCAAACAGATTAATATGATTTTGCATTTAGAAAACATATATTTACTGCAGAAGTTGTCATGGAAAAATCCTTTGGGGTCTGTTAAATTATTTCATTTATTACTAGAAGATCACAGAAAATGAACACAGTCTTAAGTGAAGGCTGATGAATTACAAAATTTTCACTACATGAAAAACGGAATTATGTAAATCTTCGTTCATCTCTTCTTAAGAATCCTTCTTCTGTACAAACCTATTGAAATTAGTTGGCCGCTTTGGTCAAAATCGAGCTCAGCAGGCTGCATGGGGAGAACAGAGGTACCAGCACCACTTTGCTGATGGGTGGTAGCCATTCTAGGTTTACAAAGCTGTAACCAAGAATTCAGTGTTGTCCTACTGGGGGCAATAGTGTCCCGACAAGGACACACATCAGTCTGTAGGGATAAAATACCAGTAGAGGTTTTTGTTTATGCAACAGATGGGTTTGTGTTACCCCTAAAAATACTTATTTTTGTACTTTATAACTAGAGAGAGCCAGAATACCACAGAAGAAAACACCCGAGGTCAGAGGCTTTCATTTTTTCTTGAAGGTCAGAATGCCTTACTCTCTTGGACTGTAAGAGGCAAACACTGACTGACTTCATGTGGCCTTCAGTATCCTGATGAATTGAGGCCTGCTCGCAGCTCGTTAGGGATCTCCTAAGGGCTACCAAAATGATCTTTGCCTCATTTTTTTTTCTTTCTTTACAGGAGTAACCACAGTCCTCACCATGACCACCTTAAGTATCAGTGCCCGTAACTCTTTGCCAAAAGTGGCCTATGCTACTGCAATGGACTGGTTTATAGCTGTCTGCTATGCCTTTGTATTTTCTGCATTGATTGAATTTGCAACAGTCAACTATTTCACCAAGAGAAGCTGGGCATGGGATGGCAAAAAAGCCCTGGAAGCTGCTAAAATCAAGGTGCTTACCTTACGTTTTTTTAATACCCAGAATAAAAAGCAGATATTCAGCATATTTCAAATAACTGAATGGACAGTTTTCAGCTTCTTTGTGAAACAGGTGTTTATTTACCTCATGACATACTTTTACCTTCCTGTAGAGTAAAATTTACAAGGCAATATGCCACCTTCTCTTCACAGAAGTAGACTGACAGTCCCTACCATCTGTATGAAGAGGACTGTGTTCAGAAGGATATAGGGCATTGAGTACATGTTGCATGGGATTTCAGTGACCAATCTGATAATAGCAGACGTATATCTGCAGAACGTTCCCTATGGGCTCTCCCAAATAATGACAAAGCTCACACTGAGCTCCATGAATCAGAGTCCCACCACAGTATCCCAAATAAAAAAGACACCAAAGAACACTTCTGTGAAAACATAAACTTTGGTGTTTCACAGTGGAATGAAAATTTTGGAATGGGACTGACTGTTAGCAAATGAACTCCTACAGAGAGCTCGTATCTGCAGGCATCCTGAAAGACCTGTACAAATGGGGCATGCTGGCACGGGCAAGGAGCCCTTCACCACACTCCTTGCTGCAGCCAGAAGGGTGAGGTTCACGTTCTTTGCAGCTGCCCACGAGGCAGCAACCTCTGCAGGTGCAGGACCACATCACCCCGACAAAAGAAGCTGCTAAAGCACACGCCAGGTGGGATCCAGGTCCAGCCAGCTGCTCTTAGCTTTCTCTGGCATCAGGGGAAGTTCAACCTGAGCATGGGCTATGAAATCAAGGCAGAAACAGCTGTTTGGTAGTCTAAGTCAGAATAGCAAACAGGCATTTGTTAGCATGATTGATTATGGTACTTAGATTTTTGGGAGCATGTTTCTGCTTTGTGTTCCTGCTGTTTAACATTTTGTTCTCTACACTGCAGAAAAAAGAGCGTGCATTACTGGCAAACAAATCAACTAATACTTACAGCACTGGGAAGCTGACCCCTGCACCAAACATGCCAAAGGACTCAGCCCCATCTGTCATCTCAAACACTGCATCTGCTCCAGCAAAGTCTGCAGAAGAAAAGCCCGCTGAAAACAAAAAGACTTACAACAGCATCAGTAAGATTGACAAAATGTCCCGGATAATTTTTCCAGTGCTGTTTGGAACTTTTAACTTAGTTTACTGGGCCACATATTTGAATAGGGAACCTGTTATTAAAGGTGCCAATTCTCCAAAATAAACTGAAGGACTCTAAAGCCACATGTGAGCCATACTTACAAAGCAGATGCTACCAAGGAAAATTTGAGATCCAGACGACTTTCTACATTTGGGCAATATTCTTCAGGAATTTTTTTGCATGTTTAATAATATGTACAAATAATATTGCCTTGATTGTTTCTACATGTAACCTCAGATGTTTCGGAGACGATTATATTACTTACAGCAACAGATCTTTATGAAAGATCAGAAGACATTGAACATGGCTTCTTTGCTGCTGAGTATCTTGCATTGATAGTTTACAAATAAAATAAGTTATATTTTTTAACTGTTCAAGTGTACTACATATCGTGGTTTTTATACTTCAGATGTACAGTCATACAAATATAGGCTTAACCTATATTTTACAGAAGAGCTCCACTATTGTCATCTGATAAGTTACTGAGTAACGCCAGTTGTAAATGTGCCAAATTATTAAGTGTAGGGCTATGTTTGAGCACCTTTACTGGTTACAGGTATTGCATTCCACAGTTAACTCTGCTCAGCCCAGTTTTCATTGGAAGTTAATACAATGCAGCCAGTCCTCATGGGGCTTATGCTGATTTTCACTGCTTGAGCCTCTAGCTTTCACTGAAGTAACGCAGGAGTGCTATGCTACTTGTGTAAATAAAGGTGGTGAAATCTTGCCCTTAAAAATAAATGAGAAGTTTGTTTGGATTTTGAATTCCAAGGAATTTTCTCAAGTGATTTTCAGTATTTATTCAAAAAATTAGAGATATATTGCATGAAATGGACATAGATTAGGAACATATTTGTGCAAACAAAACTTTTAACAACAGTAGACATTTTTATTAAGGTAAAGTAAATGATGTTTGGACATTTTCCCAAGAAGAAGATTGCATAATATTACCAGAGATTAACAGTAAAGAATTTCAGTAAATCTGCAGTAATTATTACTTGTTTCCCACAGTGAAAATCAATCATCCAACACCGAGAAGTGATCAGAACAGATGTGCTTCATGACAGCAAGGTGTTTCAGTGACAATATTGACAGAAGGGTCTTTGTACTGTCCATCTGAAACTTTTCTATAAAACGCCTTGCTGCTGCCAATGTGTTTTGCTTTCACAATGAATGAGAAAATGCAATCTGAGTTTTCAGCTCTTTCCTCCTTGGCATCCTTTCCTTGTTCCAGAAGCTTTTGTAATTTAATCTTAATGTTTCAATAAAAAATGCATTCAACATTTGATTGCAAAATGTCATTCTTTTAGTGGTTATCCTTTTAGAGAAACCAAAAAATCACCGCAAGATCTGGAAGAAGTGGAAAGCACACAAGTACACACTCCATCACATGTGTGCTCTCATTGCGTCCTTGCTGTTGTCCAGAAAGGTACCTACTGAGTGAAGACACTGAATCAAGATTTTTCAAAAGTAGGTGTTATCTTGCTATGGAGCACCAGCCCCATGTTTTGTCTGGGACAGAGAGGTGAGTTCGTGCTCCGCTTTGAGGTGAAGGTCTGGTCTGGGACTGAGGAGCTGTCTGGGCTTCTTGTGTGTCTTATCTTCATCCTCTTCATTCCTAAACATTACCAAGACAAAACTCTCACACACATATTCCTTTATTGCATTTTTTTTTTTTTTCAATGCTGTAGAATTAGAAATTTGCAAATTCTCAGTGGCCACGGGGAAGCCATGGGACTGAGCTGGTGTGGCAGGTGCAACCTCCCTGACAGAAAGCTGACAGAAGCCAGGGATTGCCAGAGCAGTTTGGCTCCTCACAGACATTAAACAGTGCCTCATGGTGACTCACTGGCGCCTGGTTTTGTCATGGGCTTGCCCCCCAACCAGTCTGAATGACCACAGTGCACCCTCGACTAGGTTGTAAATGGAGCCCTGCCAAAGAACGGGTTGAGCTGGTTCTTTGCAGAGCAAGCAGGCCTGGCAGTTGGACACTCTGCTTGGATATATGGTATGCCATCCAAGGATACTTCCATGGGTTGAGTGAGTCTCTGTGGATTGAGTGAGCTTCACCCCCCTTTGTGTGAGTGATACCTTTAGGTACCCTTGTGTGGAAAGTTTTTCTTTTATGAGTGAGTGTATACACAGTTTGGTTCATCTTTCTAGAAAGGATGTTCCTTAAAGTTTAGGAATAAGTTGTGTAGCAGTATGTTCCCAACAGACACCTGAACTTGCAGTTGAATTTTGTCAGGAGTGCCATGCAACTTTGGTTGCAAGGAATCTGCATTTCTGGTTAGCTGCTGCTGTTTGCTTTGTGAGTGCCTCCATGACAGCAGGGGACTGGAAGGTGGTAAAGAGCAGCAAGGGAAAGGCATGCCTCTCTATTGGTGCTATCCTGAGCCAAGAGGAGGATTTGGATCTCTGTTTTCACCTAGGCTTTAAGCAGCCAAACACCTTGTTCATAATGTCTGTTTTTAAAAGTGGGATAATGGTATCAGAGTACAATGAATCTGGCCCCTTAGGGATTGAAAAGAGTGGAAAATTACAAAGTAAAACTTTATAAAATCCCAAACTATTTTCTTGCATGCAGGTTATCCCCACGAAAAGGCTGGAGCCAACAAGACCTCCTGTTTCATCACTGAAGAGCACATAGCTTTGCCAAGTCCAACAATGCAATGCAGTGAAGTGAACACACAATATTCTGGATGTTCTCAGTGATTCACTCATTGAGCATCCCTGAAACAGCTAAAAACACCTGGTGACTGGCAGAGGGGAGCATATGCAAGATAGACCCTCTCAGTTGCAGCCTCTTCTGCCTCTTCATGTGGCCATAGAGATGTACAATGAATGCCATGCTAGACTCCTAGAGGCTTAATATCCAGTCAAGGAGAGGTGAGCCCAACATGCTGTCAGGGCTAGCAAATAGAACAATTCCTCTTAGATGCACACGTGGAGAACTTTTCTTCTAAGATTTCACATAGGTCCACACTCCTTCTGTGGCAAGGCAAAGTGGACATGAACAGTATGGTGGGGTCCTGTTACTCACTGGGGGAGATCACCTGCAGCCCTCCTGCTGAGTGTCTGCTTGCTGTCCTGGAGTCTTTTGCTGGGGCTGATGATGATAGGGGATGCCATTGACATTCATGGCAGATTGATGTCTGCCAGATGACACATCTAGACAAGGCTTCTTGCTAGGAATCAATCTACCAACAGCTTGTTATTTCAAGTCTCACTAGAATAACAGACGAGATACAGATCTAGCAAGATCAGTGACACAGCATAATGCACCAAATGAATCTTCCTCAACCAGGTGTCTGAGGATGATGGGTGGGCTGGTGAGGATCCATGAGGAGACAGTCAATTTGATCAGTTGCCCTTTTTTTTTGGTTTTATATGCACACATGCTACCATGTTGTTGGCAGGTATGTATCAGTACCTGTAAGCTCAGTTCTCTTCACAAACATTCTTGCAGCCTACAGGTGGCACGGGCTGGAGTTTTTTTGTCACATATTATTACTTATGATAATATTTGCAATTGCAAAGTGGGATTCTAGTTCTTCTGCAAGGGAAAGCTGGAGTGCAGGAAACCCTAGGCCACGGAATACTCACATAATTGTCACCAGAGTACTTCTGGGACAATATGGAGGCTGTATATACTACACTGTTGAAAACTATGAACAATCTGCGACCCTCCAGAAGACACCAAACATTGTAAATAGGTGCCTGAATACACATTAATCCCAAATCAAGAAAGAGAATTACAAGAAGTTGCTCTTCGCTTTCCTGAGGCTTACACAAAAATCCTCCATTGAGACATTTTTTACTACACAAATGACAAACTCAGAGCTGTCTTTACAGCATCTTCTCCAGAGCCACTCTGTCTGCCCCAGGGGGTTTTCTGTGCTTTGTTTTATTTGCTTCTGGCCAACTCTGACTCTTATCCTGAATGGCTCAGCATAACTGTCTGGTCTCCATTGCAGGACTCAGTGCCAGGACCTCTAAATCTGACTGATTTTATTTGCATGGAAAGTCTCCTTTTCTTCACTGAATGCAGAATGACCTGCAGACAACAGAGTTGCATGGTTACAGAATCAGGTTGTGGGATAATGGCCAACTTGCCCTGAGTAAAACAGAAATACAGGCTAATTTAGTGTGCTTCAGGAGAAAGATTAAAATGTTTATGACTATGAGATTCTTGTGGTATCTCTGGGGGTAGAGACCTGCTGAGCTGGCATGCCAAACAGCTGAAGGAGGAAGTCTTGTGAAGGTAGGATGGTCCTGTTTCAGCTAAAGCAACAGAAGCAAACAGTTCTTACAAAAATCTTGAAGGCCATAGCTCCTGAGCGAGGACCTTTGCCTAATTAACGGCTTTATTTTCGTAAACAATTTATCAGAGTTTACCCAATTTGTGGAGGGCCTTGTAATCACCTGCCAAAAGCATGTGATACCACAGACATTCTATACACAAATCACTTCCAATTATATTGACTGTTGCTTTCTGAAGGTAGAGGCAGAAAGTACTGACTAGAACTCATTCTGTTGTTACGGATTTTCTAAACCAGGTTGAAGTTTCCTGAAGAAACAATCTATCTTACATTTTTCAGAGAATCTCATGCACTCCTAAAACTTGCTAAAACCTGAAATGATAGAAGAAGAATACACCTTGCAGCACATGCTCCTGCTGGAACAGTAAATGTTGTCCCATAGTTTTGGAGATGCTTCAATAAGCTGATCAGTTCCAGGCCAGGATACTTAAACGCCATTGCCTCACACTACATGTCACCTAACAATCTAAGTCTCCCTGCAGTCATGGAAGAGTTTGTGTGGGAGACCATTACTCACTGATGGCATCTGAACTGTGGGAGATGGGAGCAGTTCCCAGATCCTGGATCAAAGTAAACACCTTGGCCTTGTCCTGTTCCAGGCTGTGGTGATATCTGGATGTGCATCAACCTCCTCTGGTTTCCTCTGGAAGGAGGCTGGGCCTTCAGGCATGGCATGAGCTGTGCCACTGTCCCCAGTATGGGTAACCAGGGACCCTGCAGGGCACATCTACTTCACAGCTTAGTCAAGGTCAAAGAGAATAATAAATAAGAATTTCTTGTCATTGTTTTTTTTTCCTGTATGCTTTCATGTTTTTTTTTTTCTGTATGCTTTCATGACAAGAAAAAGAGTTGAAAAGTGAATTACAACAATTCAGCACTGGAGAGTAAGTGTGTGCAGTTCCACTGCCAAATTTCCTCACTTGCGCCCATTAAGAATGAAAGAACAAGTGAAATACAATGAAAA